TATAAATATATTATATTACTTATATTCCTTATCTACTTAATCTCTACCTATTATCTACTTATATATATATATATATATATATATATATATATATATATATATATATATATTAAAGTATTATATAAGTGTATTACTCATCTTATAGTAATATACTTATATATTATATACTATAAACATTATATTATATATTACTTATAAAATAATCTACTTATATACCTATATTATATTACTAATAATATTTATTATCTACTTAATATATACTTAAATTACTTATTATCTACTTATACATCTCCATCTTCATCTTCTCCAAACCACTCTATATATATATATATATTATTTATATAATTATTATATCTACTTATATATTAATTATCTACTTATATACCTATATTATATTACTAATATTTATTATATACTTAATATATACTTATTATCTACTTATACATCTCCATCTTTTTAATATTTACTTTGTTATATATATTTATTGTTATTTACTTATACATATTAAAGTATTATATATAAGTGTATTACTCATCTTATAGTAATATACTTATATATTATATATACTATAAACATGAGAAAACTTCATGTCCAGCCGGCCTGACGGGAACCGCCATCCGGTCGAGGGAATTTCGGACACTTCCCGGTGGAATTTTTTGATGAAATATTTTTAGCATGTTCTTCATGAAGTCTAGTTTATCCATACCAAATTTTAGCTACAAATGCAATCGGGAAGGCACTCAAACAATTTCTTGAAGTTAACTGGGCAGTTCATACATATAAACTGCCCAGTTAACTTCAAGAAATTATTTGAGTTCCTTCCCGATTGAATTTGTATCTGAAATTTAGTATGGGTAAACTAGACTTCATGAAGAACATGCTCAAAAACGTTCATCAAAAAATTTCACCGGGAAGTTCCCGAATTGCCCTCGGCCGGACGGAGCATCCCGTCAGGCCGGCTGGACAAGAACGGGACTCCTATAAACATTATATTATATATTAGGCTATTAGTTATACAATTATATTAGTTACACTTGAATTCATAGTAATTAAATTCATCGTATTAGTTAATTTTTACATTTTTCATTAAAGTATAAAAGTAGTTAATTGTTACATTTTTCATTAAAGTATAAAACTAGTTAATTGTTACATTTTTCATTCAAGTATAAAACTAGTTAATAGTTACATTTTTCATTCAAGTATAAAACTAGTTAATTGTTACATTTTTCATTCAAGTATAAAACTAGTTAATAGTTACATTTTTCATTCAAGTATAAAACTAGTTAATTGTTACATTTTTCATTAAAGTATAAAACTAGTTAATTGTTACATTTTTCATTCAAGTATAAAAATAGTTACATTTTTCATTTCCCTATTATTTAATTTGTTAATTGTTGCATTCATCATAAAAGTAAAAAACTAGTTAATTATTAATTGCTGCATTAAACTATTAAAGTATAAACTAATAAAAGTAGTTAATTTTATTAGTCGCATTTTATTATTACTATTGTACTCATATTAAAACATTTGATATCATATAATATTTGTTACATTTTACAGATGGAACGTGCCAGACATTCCGTAGATGTGGGTAGTCTCCAACGCAACCGAAGGAAGGAGATTGCGACAAGTCATCCTAGTTTACGCAAAGGCAAAGGTAAAGGGCGGGCCGGGTCTTCTTCTCAGAGTCGAGAAGATTTTGATGACGGATACCAAAGGCGAGATGGGGATGCGATGTGCGACGAGCAACTATAACAACTATTGGCGCAAAATGATGGTCGCTTTTTCCAACAACAAAACTCCCGGAGTCCATTGATGAAGAGGAGCTTGAGGATGACAATGCGGAGGAGGACGAGGGGGGCGACGGGACTCACGGCACCCCGGATGATAAGCAAGAGTTGGAGGACGAGGGCGGTCCATCCCAAGTTGGTAAGAAATCTAAATCTCCTATTATAGAAAATAGTTTTACAAAGAGGAAAGACCCAAAAACCGATAAATGGTACGCAAGTTGCGATCATTGCAAGGAGTATAACTTGGGAACTTCCGGCGGAGCCTCAAAAGGCATCTTAAGTCCGCGCACTCTGTGGAGTATGCGAAAATAGACAAAGGGAAGGGGAAGCAAACTCAAATATCGAGGTTTGCAAATGACCAACTTTTGGCAATTTCTCATACACTGATGCACAAAATTTGACTGGTATGGCTAACTTACTTGTTGACGAAGATTTGCCTTATTTCTTTTCTGAAAGTCTTGCTTTTAAAGATTATGCACAAACTTGTTTAAATCCTCAATTTAGAAGTTATAGTCGCAAAACGGTTAAGAAAGAAATTATAAGGCTTTATCGTGTGGAAAAGGATAGGTTTTTTTGCAAACTTTGACGGCCGTGTTACTATTTGTTCTGACATTTGGGAGGATACTTATCATAATTTACATTATTTGGACCTGACTGCACATTTTATTGATAGTGATTGGAATTTGCATAAACGTGTTCTTGCTTTTCGTGAATTTAATAATCGTCACACCGCTGAACATATTTATATTTTGATTGAACGTATTTTAACTGAGTATAATTTGATTGATAAGGTGTTTGCTATAGGTTTTGATAATGCTACTAATAATACTGCTGCTATACCTAGATTGCGTGAATTATGTGGTTTTAATACTTTGATTGGTAGATTTTTTCATCAACGATGTGCATGTCATATTATAAATTTATGTGTGCAAGACGGTATAAAAGCGTTAGGAGATACTGTGGAGGTAGTCAAGGGGGGATTAGACGTATTTGGGGCAATGGTCAACTTAAATTAAAATGGCAAAATTATTTGATTGAAAGAGGTGTGAAATATGTTGCTTTCCCTAAAGATTTGTCTATTCGGTGGAATAGTACTTATAAATTAATTAAAGTTCTTCTTAGATATAAAGAACATTTTTCTGCTTTTTTAAGACAATATGATAACTATATTTTAAACCCCGCTCACATCGACACTTGCGAAAAAATTTGTAATGTTTTGATATAATGCAACTGAAAGTTTTAGTCATGTTTATATACCTACCTCAAACGAATTTATTCGTGAAGTTGTTAATCTCGCCGGTGCTTTTAATGAATTTGAGAATGCCGCTTACGTGAGTTATTTTTGTGGTTTTATGAAGGAAAAGTTTTTAAAATATTATGCACATATTCCGCATATTTATAGTATTGCATTGATTCTCGATCCTCGTTATAGACTTGGTAATTTGGAAGAATTGTTGAAGTTCTATTATAATGCTTTTTTTGGTCCATTTCCAATATATGATGATAACGTCATAGATCCGCAAGTTGAATACAACGAGGTTAGTAATATATTTTATGCCTTATTTAATGAGTTTCGTGCACAATATGGCAACGCGCCCCCTCCCCCGACACACACATCTTCATCTAAAGGAAAATCACTTTTTAAATCTACTTTTGGCAATCTTATGAAAAAACCTAAAACAACTCACACTACTGAACAAAACGCACTTAATGAGATTTCTTTGTATATAAATTATGAGGTAGAATTTGACAAAAATGAGGAGTTTGACGTTCTAAAGTGGTGGAAGTCAAAAGAAAGAATGTTCCCGATTTTGGCACAGATGGCTAAGCAAGTGCTATCAATGCCGGTTTCAACAGTTGCCGTGGAACAAGAATTTAGTTCGGCCGGCAACGTTCTAACGGCATCTAGAACGAGTTTGAGCGATGAATCTTTTGAGACGCTTATATGCTACCACGATTGGTTGAAGACCATACGTAGATGTCAAGAAGTTAGCATCACCCCCTCCCAAGACTTTATGGATCAATCAACAACCGGGGTGGCTCCTATGCCGGTGATTCCGATTGATTAGTATTTTACAGTTTATTATAAAATGTATTTCATGTTTTAATTTTTCCTTCAATTCTCTATTGTAATTTGTAAAGTTGTATTTCATATTTCAAATAGATATACATTCTTTTTTTTATGTAGCACTTCTCAAATTAATTAATTAATTAATTAATTAATTGGTTACAAACTTACAACTTACAACTTAGAATTTATTGTATTAGTATTTTTTGAAAAATGTATTTCATATTTAAGTTGTATTAAAAAAATTAAAAAATATATATATAACCTAGGCCCGGCCCGACCCGGCGGGTGTCCCGGCCCGAACCGGCACCAGGCGAAAGACGGGCCGGTTCCGGGCCTCCCTTTATAGGACCGGGGGCCCGGCCCGAACCGAGTCCAGCCCTAGTCATGCTGGACTGTGTGCATTGCCACCTAGGATGGATCCAATTCACTTCTTTTTACATTGGAGAATGCATTTGCTCACAAAGGGAGATGCCCTTAGGGCATTTCAAAAAGGTAAGTGAGAAAATTTTTATGAGACGGAGAGATACAAAGTATATATATAAATTAGTATTATGTTTTTTTACAACACAAGGTTATTACCCTCGCCAACATACTCCGTACTAGTTACTGCACCATTAAAATTGTCCGCTTAGAGCATCTCCATTCATGCTCTTTAAATAAACAGTTTTTCTACAACACATCATTGTCACATCACATTTATTCAATAAATTTAAAATAATCTTAAAGCTTAAAACTCTTCCTCAACAATGGAATACAAATAATTAGTTTTTCTAGAACATGCATTAAATGTAATTTAACTATAATATAAAATTATTCAAGATTTGAATCTTGATATGGGATCTTCTTTTTCAATAATCTCCATAAATAATCACGCACTCACAATGATATTCTTTAAAATAATCTTACACATCATCCAATTAATCTTTAAATAAACTAATGGATGGGAATGCCCTTATTAACTATGTTTGGGTTCTAGCTGGAGGGCAAATTGGGCAATAGAACTAATTTGAATGAACCATTAAAGTTCAATTCAGTGATACAGGGATGACTGTTCCGCTGGCTCAAAATCCACTCTTTCAAGTTTCACCATGACCACAATAGCAGGCCATCAAAACGTAAACTATAATGACCCAATATACTCTCACAGTAACTAATATTTGTCATTATTAATAGTAACACTTCGTAATACTTTGTCTCTTTGAGCACAAACAAAAGAAATTACGAGTAAAATTGTTGACAATACAAAACTCAAAGGTCATTCACAGCATGTCAGTAACCTTGGATATGGACATATAGTTTCAAAACAAATCTAGTGTTGTTGCCTTGTTGGAGATATATTTGCAACTCCATGGTCGAACTTCAATGGTACACAACACCTATACTATAATAACAATAATCGAAAACAAAAAATCAATGTCGGAGGAGGCGAACGTGTGGCAGCCAGGAACTCTTCCACCTTCCCTGACACAAGATTCAACACTCCCAACTCATATGTGGCAGTAAAAACGCCACTATAAATGGAGTAACGGTATAAAAACACCGTCAATGGGCTGGGCTACTTTATGATCCATGAATAGAGTCGAATTTAGATCGACCTAAGAATTGGTGTTGAAGCCAGTCAAGCCATCAGTCCTCAGACTCGATGTATAATTGGGGAAAAGCCTCAACAAGTTATCAAGAGTCTCCGGCAAGAATTTCCTTGCAAACAAGTAACATGGCCGTTCATTTCCATTCCATAAGCATGGTCTAATCTGAACCTCTTTCTGCAATTTGGGAGTTAACAGAGAAAACAGGTCCACTAGGTTTGAGTTAATTGAAGATCATTAAGCAAGACTAAGGAAGAGATGCATATGTAATAGATTCTTGAAAAAGAAAGCATACCTTTGACTCACTTGTAACGTGTACGCTCTCAGTAATGGACTGCAGAAATAGAAAAAACATTACACAATCAAGTCATATTTAGGATCTAATTTGCTTGGTAAAATTATTTGAGTAGCTGAAATGTGTAACACAGATATATATGGTCATTGATGAGGGTGGGTGGGAGGAGGCAAAAACAAGTTGCTCATTTGCATGTACACAATTGAACATAGCTTCTTAAAAGGAGTTTTTTCAAACTCTAATTTGTTTACTCGAATTAATTGTTTATTTGAAGCTTAACATAAACTATAAGCTCTACTTTGTACCAAACATGTACTAAGCTTCCGAGAGAATAACTAAAAACTGACCAAACACATCCTGAGCTTCAGTTTTTTTAAAAATATCTTCTTAATCGCGTTGAGGGTATTTATATTTTAGATTCTGTCAAAGTGTCCCACATTGGATGTTTACAAAATATATGTGTATAATAAGTATGAGGTATCTTGAGGATCCTTTGGGGGTGAGTAAGCCTAATTTAATTAGATTCAAAAGAAAGGGGTTTACAAAAATCTGTATGAACTTTTGTAACATCAACCAAAAAGTATACAGTGAATAAGAAAATATAGGGAAAGAATAAATATGAAGTGCACACAGTACTAAGAAACGAGGGAAGCGATCCAGCTCAGCTGGTCGTCCACTCACTCTCCCTTATGGGAGGTCCCGGGTTCAATACTCAATGGAGTGAGTTTGATCCCAATTTACCTCAGGCCCCCCCAATCCCCCCTGGGGTAAAAAAAACTAAGAAACGAGGGAGAGCAATCCATACAGTAATGTTTCTCAGGAGTGCATAAGTAATATCCTGGCGGGTGTACGATTTTGGGTGCCACTTCCCTTCGGACCAATCAACATGGGTAACAGACCAATTTGCAATTCCAGATGGATCATGCATCTGTAACATAAAGGGAAAATCATATCTGTAGAGTAATCATAATACAGGTTAAGATTGTTTATAAGTCAAATGGAGGTGGAAAAATCATTAAAAACTCACGTGAAAAAATGTTGGCAAATAGTGTTCATCGGAATAGCAGTGAAGTCCATCCATGTTTGGCTGCCAAGTTAAATAAATGTGGTGTTTAGAGACTGCAGAAAAATCCAAATCTATCAGAGTTCTAAAATACGTGACATTTCATATGCAACCCCCCCCCCCCCCCACACACACACACACAAAACCTTTTAGCAGATAGAACTATAGATGAATATTGAATGACTTTAATAATTTGATTTAAATTCCAAAACTTCCCAATCATTGAACTTTTTATTTTAATAATAGAATAATAGATCACCAGCACACCAGCTGATGGGTATTCCCAACCTAAGAAAGAACAACTTGACCACATTGGAATTGGCTTAAAATTCCTAAAAATTCCCTTAATCCCAAAAATGGAGTGTTAAGCCATGTTTGGAATCAGAAACCCTGAACTGGAAATTAGTGTGTTCTCTCAATTCCTGAAATTGGATGCAACACATGCCTCTAGTACACCATGGATTTATCTAATTTTTAGTAATTCAATCACAAATACAAAATTAATCAAATGCAATCACAATTATGGGATGGTAGCTCAATTCTTAACACTACATCTACGGATCTACCAACAATGCATTATGAAATCAGTCAAAATGCAGTTATCTTATATCAACCTGAGAAAGAGCTCCCCTATTAGTTATTGACAAATCAGAGTGCATGTAATGAAATGGAAAAATGATATAACATGAAAACGCACACACACATATTCCAATTCAGATATAGAACAAAGTCAACGGATTTAAAATTACCAAAAAAAATTATCCCACAAAAGTCATTCGAGCAAGAAAACTACCTTACAGTAATCATGGAACTTTGAATAATATAGATTATCAGCCATGACAACAACAGCATGTCGTCGCTTCATGGTGAACCACTGCACACATTAAAAGAATTAGAAATTAAAAATAAATAAAGGAAGAATGCATTAAAACTATGAAATTTTGTGGACAGAACCTGTGCACCCTTTCGAAAGTCTTTCTTTTCAATTTCAGGTAGCATATGTTCAGAATACCTGCCATTTCCGTGAGGGCCAGGATCCACAAAGCTGGGATAAAAGAAAGGGACACACCAGTGAGATGAAAAGGAAACAAATGAGGGAGTATACATGAAATGAATATTCTTAAAAGTACTATTCATATTTCATAGCTTAAACCTTTTTACAGAGAAATAACTTGAAACTACAAAAACTCATGGCACACAGTAGATTAACATTAACTGGAGCTCACCTGTCTACAAAACTGATATTTGTGTCCATCAGGTAGTTGTACACATAATCAAAACCATGTAATGGTATACAACTGCAATTCAAGGTAAATTATCAAATATATATATGTAAATGTATAGATATACATGTGTGGTACACACACATATAACATATATAACTACATACATACTAATATACAAAGTACATACACATATAGAAAACACACACAGACATACGCATGCATCATGTCATCATGTGTGTATATGCATTTCTATATATTTGTGTGTGCGCATCTTTATGTATGTGTGTATTTAAATATATGTATGTGTACTGTGTATACACATACATGTACATACATATGTATATGTATATGTATTTGTATACATATATACATATGTATATGTGTGTGTTTATAGATATAGGTGTATATGTGTGTGTGTGTGTGAATATATGTATATACATGTACATATATACACACACGTGCATATCAAAAAGTACATGTGAACAATTACTAGCCCCTTTTCAGTCAGACAAGTGAGCTGTAAGGCATCATTCACCACACCTATCAGAGAGTAAAACAAAGTGCATATTGTCGGGATCTTTGAGTGCACTGGCCAATAGGCGCCTCTCAGCATCAACCATTGAAATTTTCCCCCAGGATACCTGCAATAGAATCCATACAAAAAGTTGAAAAAAAAATTGAAACACAGATTGGCTTGGTGTGCGATGGGTTCACAAATGCAACAACTGTTTGAGGTCTGATCCCATGACCAAAAAGTAAATAGGTGATGAGCTTGCAGGAAACCAAGCCAGAAGCCCAGAAGTTCAATTTTCAGACAATAAAACTACAAGTTATGCTACCATTGGTAGAAATAATTGTCCAATCCATATACTGGTAATTGCAATTACTTCGTATATCATTTGAGGCAATTTTCAGAATGCCTATCCAGATGAGTTTGCAATGAAACAAACATATCTGCCTTCAACTTTTGTGGAAAACAGAGAGCATCAGAGCAGGTATATGATAATGCTATGTTCTTTGTTTCCTGAAAACATTGTCACAACATTGGCCTTGGACCTTATTTAAAATAAAAATTCAAAATATAGGCATGACGAATAATAAAAATATTTTCCACTGTTCTTTCATATCTCACATCATCATTCATATGGAATTATTTCCAAACACAAACTAAATGAGCCGAGAAGACAAGTAAAAGGAAGGATAAAGAATGTTCTATATTTCAGGAGCTAGATCAGTTGTAAATGAACAATCCCCTCCAGCTCGTAATGAAATTGGCTCATACGACGCCTAGGGATTGACTACATTAGCCCATAGAAAATCTCATGTGTTCAGCCAAAACCAATTATGTAAAATTTTCTCTGACAGCCCCACCTCCTTCAATGACACATACTAGACTTGAGCTTACCCCTAATACACCTTAGTTCCTACCAAAGTCATCTGCAGCACCCACTCAAGAATACACCAACAAACACCTTGTACAAACCTCACTGTTCCAAGTACGAGCAAACAAGCAAATACAAACTTCAAAGACCAAATATATAAGTAAAGAAAAAATATTACTAAATGACCCATGAGCTATAAAGAACTAATAAAAAAAAATATGAAAACCATTGAGTTCAATCAATCAATATTCAATGCACACATTTTTTATTAATAAAGAGCATAGTCATTCCCAGCTACAGAGAGAAGCTAAGATAGCTTCCAGAAGAGAACACAAACGATTGTCGGTTTCCAGGTAGAAGTACAAACCTTGGCACTACGGATCTCTCGATCTACAAAGTAACGGCTAAAATGAAGTGGCCTCTCTTTGGATGCATGAACATAAACAGTGAACTTACCTTCATGTCCCTGCTAATGCAAATTGGAAAAGTCAAAGGAAAGCAGGAGAGGGGATGTCAAACTATCAATACAAATTTCCTATGTTAAGAAAGTGCTATAATAAGACATTTGAATTTTTCTTTGCATTCATCATCATCATCATTATCATTACCCCAGTGCCGCAAAGGCTCCCACCAATGGTGAGGGGTAAAGGGGGGTCAGATGTACGCAGTCTTACCCCTGTACTAAAGCACAGAGAGCCTGTTTCCGGATGACCCAAAGTGAAAATCGCTTTGAATTTTCCTTTGCATTATACATGAAAAAACCAAAATAGATTTGTTCATATGAATCTAAACAACATAAGATTCACCAACAGTAATCAGTTCACATAGATTACAATCATTCAATGCCACAGAACATGTCATATTGGCAAGTACTTGCAGTTCATTCGTTTAGCTAGTCACTCGCTCACTCTGTTAGACCTTTTAAGTTTCTTCAGATTTTCCCTTATCACGTAGAGTCTAAAAACGATTCCATCATTTGAAATGGAGCCAAAGATTCACTATTTTTTGGCTTGGGAATATGATGGAATAAAGCAAAATGGCTCACTAAACTGGCTGCGCTTCTTTGTTATGAAGCAACGGTCAGTCCATGCAATTCTCGACGTGATTTTCACCATGGGTCATCCGGAAACAGTCCCTCTGTACTAAAGTACAGGGGTAAGGCTGCGTACATCCAGCCCCCCTTACCCCACCGTAGGTGGGAGCCTTGACGGCACCGGGGTAATGATGATGATGACGTAGAGTCTAAAAACATTACAGTGGGTCAAAAGCATGATCAGGTACATCTTTTACGGAATAAGTAAAATTGTAGTTATGCTCTAGTTGAATGAGCTTAAAAGTAATGAGTATAACAGAACAAAACAAAACTAATAATAATAATGGAAGGAAGATAAGTATATTTAACTAATTACTACATGAACAGGATACAAACCTGAAAGAATTTATCCCAGAGCTTCTCGAATGGTAAAGCACCAGGTGTCAAAAAAAGAAACGCAATTTTTGGACTTTTTGGTGAAGCTGCAGGTGCATCCAAAATATCTCTAATTACAACATGAGAAGCTATCTCTTGATCTGTTAATTCTCTAGCAGGATCAGGGGGAAGCCAGTCATAACGATTCTTGCAACCACGAGAAGAGAACAAAAAACAAGTGGCAGAATTCGTTGCAGGGTAGACATAAGCACAAATCAAGAAAAAGCTAACTAATGAAACCAGAATGATGATCCATGTTGGCTTCTTTAAGTGGGAGCGCTGACGAGGCACAGAAAATATCTTCATATCTTTCATGCCCAAGCGCCATGACTGTTTTATCTTCATCTAGAGCTAAAGCATTAGCAGACCCCAAAAACTGTGCCTCAAAATGCAAAATTTTTGTTTTCAGTACCAATCAGGTTCTAGCCAAAAGTGTTTTGTTGTGCCAACTTCTGAGCTGCAAAGGTGCACCAAAGTGGAATGGTAAGCAATTGCGCATTGTCAAGTATGGGCTGGACTCAATTGTTACTGCAATCAGTACTGCTTAACACAGAACAAAGACTCTCTTAGCTACAACTATGGCTATTTCAAAGCAGGCCAGCAGGAAAAGGATGTAGGTCCATGTGGTGCTTCTAGTTTTCTAAACAGTATGAAGACAATTGCATCATATATATACAATGTATTAAAGTGAAATTTATAAATAAATCTCATAGAAAAGAAATCAGTATTCAAGTGGGGAAGTTAAGTCCATATCCGAAGTAAATGTTCCCTGCTCGCAAGCTGCAACACATGTAAACAGATTTGCATTTCACAAACCTGCATCCCGAACTCGTGAATTTCAAAAGGAGGATGAACTTTCAAGTTACATGGTAATTTCAATCTTCAAATGAACAAATTAAACAACTAAAGTTAAATAGCAATAGAAACAAAGGATAAGAAAAAACAGAAAAATAAAGCAAAAGTGCCAAAAACAATGAAAGTTAATAGATATTTCAATTTCATAGCTGCTCACCTACCAGATTCACCAAGAATTAATCTGTATAGAATTGCATTCCATAAAACATAATCTCAAACTCCCACAAGTGAATAGACATAAACTGATGAAACATACAAAAACAACCTCAAAGTTTAATGAAATACAATTCATTAAGGACATTTAAAACTCCTAAGCTGCCTATGCCAACCCCTGGTGAAAAGTTAAAAACCGCCCATCATTGTATCTGAATCACAATCTATATTCTATATACACAAATTACAGAGTAAATCCGCCAATGCGTATCCACAATATATGATCTTCGGTCGGACCCCTCCCCCGTATCACCAAAGAACCATAAATCAGAGTAAAAAGACATTCGGGTCCCGGAAAAGATTGCAAACCAATGAACATGTTTACGAAGCGCAAAACGTACAAAAAATCCATATCAGAAAAACAGGAAGGCATACCTCAATTAGCCCATCAAGAGATCCGCAAAGGCAAACGTTTGAACACTCGATCAAGAAGACGTGTAACTACGTGCGCGTACATACATATATCATTTGCATGTATGCAAGTATGGGAGAATATATAAGATGCCCGGGAAAATGCTTAATAGTTTGAGATCTAGGGCTCAAGCGATGAAATCAAAACAAAATGGAAAAACAGAGGGAAAGGTTGAAAAGTTGCAGCCTTGGAGAGAGACAGGGAGAGCTGGCAGTCTTTTTTTCCATTTTTTTCTTTGATGGACTCCCTGTTTATTTATTTTTGAAAATAGACTCCCTAGTCCCTACTTATTTGTTGGTATGGAAGTGCATTTTGGCCCCAAGATCCATTTGTCTTAATATGTTTTCTTTTGAAGCGAAATTTGTTGGTGTCATCTAATCTGGTCTTGTCTGCTTTGAACTGGTCAGGTTTAGTTTGATAAATGTCTGATTTTTGTCTATTTTATAATTAACTACGGAAATCTGAACTAGTTCGATCTGATCTGGTTTGGTCTGGGACTGAAAACAATCCAAAAGAAAGCATCCTTAAATCGCGACTTTTATTACTGAGATATTATTGAATTAAAAACATTTTTAATCTTGAGAGTGTTTGCAAAAAATTAAAAAAAAAAAATGATTTTCATATTGGACTTAAGAAAACCTGAAATGAAAGTTTTCGAGTAATAACTTACTCCCTCCGTCCCCTTTTAAACGTCCCGTTTTACCATATTGGGATGTCCCTATTTAATTGCCTCATACTTTATTTGGTAAACTTTGTGTGGCTCAAAATCATTCTCACTTTATTCTTACTTTATCAATTAATATCAACCACACAAACTCACTTTCTTAAAACTCGTGCCACCATCTCCCGTCCCATTTAAAAGGGGACGGAGGAAGTATATTTTTACTTTTTTATTACACAGAAAGCACGTATTTTATCAAATACTCCTAGCTTTTACTTCTTCAGAAGCATTTTTTTCTCAAAAACTATCAACTTTTACTTCTCCTTATTAAGCAATTTCTCCAAAATCACCTAAAAGTCATTTTTTAAAGTGGAAACAATTGCAAACACTATCTTACACTTGTTAGCTTATGCCGGAGATTGAGATGACATATACCACTTTAATGACTCTCTTTTGGTTATTTGGAAAAGCTCGTTTAATCTCTAACAAACCATCTTATTTCCTAGTTGACGGACTCCATTTACACCCACATACAATATTATTTCTCTTGATTGTACCTTTTTGGTGCATGCTTTTCCAAGCCTATAAAACGTCAACTACCTTTCTTACCACTTTATGGGACGTCTCTGAGAGACCCTCCCAATACAAAATGTTCTTTTGCTATCTATGAAGCACGGATACTTCCTTAGGGTAGCGTATCGACGTATCCGATACGTTCCCGTATCCGATACTCTAGGATACCCGTACCATACGTTCCCGGGCCGTATCTGCAATTTTTAAAAGTTTCCTTTTTTTTTGTAATTTTTTGAAAGTTTCTGATACTCGTATCCTGACGGATACCCGTATCAACTTTTTAAAAAAAAATCCCAAAATTTACTTAATAAAATTCTAAAAAAATGAAAATCTAAAACTACATTTTACTTGGTAATCAAATAATGGGTCTATATGACTATATCCGAATTAAGTCATTAACTCATACTCTGAATTGGGTACTTGCACTTTTAATTTCAAGATTGTAGTTGTTAGACTTATTTCTCATTTTAAATTAATGACTTATTGCGTACATTTATATTTCGAGATACACTAGTGTATATGAGAAATATTCTGAATTATATATATATATATATATATATATATATATATATATATATATATATATATATGTATATGGAGTCGATGGGTGACCCCCTGGGAAGTCCTCGTGTTGCATCCCCTCGTCCCCCTTTTGTCTCAAAAAAATTTTGATGAAATTTTTTGAGCATGTTCTTCATCAAGTCTAGTACATCCATACCAAATTTCAGCAAAAAATGCAATCGGGAAGGCAGTCAAACGATTTTTGGAAGATAACTGCGTTTTATATGTATATAAAGGTTGCAGTTATCTTCCAAAAATCATTTGATTGCCTTCCCGATTTAATTTTTTGCTGAAATTTGGTATGGTTGTACTAGACTTGATGAAGAACATGCTCAAAACATTTCATCAAAAAATTCCACCGGGAGGACCCTCAAAACGTGGAGGCCGCACGGCGGCTCCGGTAAGGTATACCTTACCGGAAGAGTTCCCTATATATATATATATATATATATATATATATATATATATATATATATATATTCAAAAAAATCTATTTTTAATATTTATAAATAGACCCCTATAACTTTTAATATTTGTAAATACACTCCCATAACTTTTAATATTTATAAATATGACCCCATATCCGTATCCTACTTTTTTTGGTTTTGACGTATCCCTGTACCCGTTTTCGCGTTTCCGCGTACCGGTATCGGTGCTACATAGTTTGCTATATGTGATAACATAGTTTGATGATTCAATATGTGATATTGCTCAAAGTACATACCCTAAGATGCTTGAGCAATACATAAATGTGGAAGTTTTAAAGAGTGGGGCTTCTGTCCCTTTGGGGACATCAGATAAAGAGAGGGGCTTCTTGACATCAACTCCTCCTAGGTTGATTATTATATACTATATCTCGAAAAAGTTCGTCATATTGATTTTTTTTGTCAATGATAGTAAATTTTGAACAATGATTTTAATTATTACTCCATCTGTCCCGCAATTAAGTTCCTAGTTTGACTTTTACGATCTTCTAGGTGGAAATTTGCCTCTAAATATCTAAAAAAAACTATACTTATAAAACCTATAATGAATTAACATTTGAGTAGTATATATTGAAATGAACTACATAAAATTAATTTTGTGTGATAAAGTAATGTAAATTTTGAATAATTAGTCGTCAAAGTTTATAATGCTTTACCGAAAAAGTGGAAGTGGGAACTTAATTGTGGGACAGAGGGAGTATATTTGTATATAATTTATTATAAACTTATACTTTTATGAAAATAATTTGAATAAGGAACATTTTGATATAATTTCATATTCAAAATAATTTCGTATTAAGAAATACCATTAATCAAAGTTGATTGACATTGATCAAGAAAAGTCATTTTGGTGAATCTTTTCGGGACAGAGGGAGTACAAATTTAATTCCCAACTTCCACAGAAATGATACTACATCCGTCCCACTAATATTCAGTCATAGGAAGGGGTGCGGTTATTAAGAAAAGTAATTTATGTTGTTGATATTGAATTGATAAAGCAAAAGTAAAGTAAGAATGACTTGGAACCACACACACTTTATCAAATCTGGTATAAAACAATTTTAGTGGGACGAATCAAAAAGGAAGGTAAACCCATTTTAGCGGGATGAAGAGAGTATGTTAATGCCTCAAGTCAATACAAGTTTATAATTTTAGTCCCCAAAAGAGAAATTTGGTTAACTCTATAGACAAAGCAAATGTTGTTGAAGTACTCGCACTAACACATGAATTTTACATGGTGAGAACATTAGGGCTTCCTATGTAACAATTAAAATCAAATGACGTGTTGTTATAAAATATAGATCACTCTAAAGGATTGTGCAACTTAATTAAAGTAATTGTCGTGATATTAGGAAATCATATTTTTGGAGCAAATACAATGTCTGATAACAACACTGGGAATGAGATTTATAGTCCCTGCTTGGGTATGAATCCTCAAATAACACGGTCTTTTAAACTTACTAAAATACATTTTTTTATTATTTTATTGTATTGTATGCCATGACAATCAACAAATCTTAAGGTCGGCTATTGAAAAATATCAAAGAATGTTTGTCTATACCAATTTTTAGTCATGGACCAGTAAACAAGACATTATCATTCATTCAAAGTAAAAAAGGGTTTACAGTTTTAATACATGAAAAAGAAGGAAAATCATTAGACACCTCTACAAATGTTGTCTTCAAGGAAGTTTTTCAAAGCCTTTATTATATAAGTTTCTTTTCTTATTGAACAATCATGTAAATTTTCAAACAACTATAACTACACATGATGATGGTCATATGTGAATAATATTGTCTATTTATATGCTACAAGCATTTGAACTCCACATTTAGTCTTTTTAATTTTATAAAAAAAAACGCGTGTCTCAAGTCTGCTACTCAAGTCGCATGTAAATTTCAATGCATGTAGAAGCTGATAATTATTAGGAAAGCATAAACCTAATCTCCCATTTGCATTGTTTTGCATCTTAACTAATTCCATTATAATAACAATCATACATTACAACTTTATTTTTGTTTCTCTTATTAGAGAGTTTAATTTTGAAATTGCTATGATAAATTAGAATTTTACTTAGTAACTCTAATTTTTAAACGTGTATGTCAAGAGGGGCCATTTATCACCCATGTCGTACAAGTAGTACAACATAATCTGCTAATCAAGCAAACTAGTTATTTTGTGGTTAATTAGATGTTATGTATTTCCAAACTTTTATTTCCTTATAAATTATAAATATACAAGTACATTACATAATAATCATAAGATCTTGTCACTCGTTCGGATGCACGTCTACTATATACCCGTTGATGTTAGTAACTACATCTACAAGAAAGATCAGGTCCAGCCCTCCCCGGTCCAGCCGCCGTCCGAACTCCGCCGTTTGGGGCGGTTCCCGGTGGAATTTTTTGATGAAATTTTTTGAGCATGTTCTTCATCAAGTCTAGTTTGTCCATACCAAATTTCAGCTCAAAATTCGATCGGGAAGGTCGTCAAATGATTTTTGCAAGTTAACTGGTCCGGAATATGTATTTTCCGGACCAGTTAACTTGCAAAAATCATTTGACAACCTTCCCGATCGAATTTTGAGCTGAAATTTGGTATGGACAAACTAGACTTGATGACGAACATGCTCAAAAAATTTCATCAAAAAATTCTACCGGGAACCGCCCCAAACGGCGGAGTTCGGACAGTGCTTCCCGTCCCTCCGGCTGGACCTGATCACTTCTCACTACATCTAACCTAAATGTGATAACTATTGGGTAAATAAACCGATTCATATTTTCTAGCCAAAACTTGTTACGAATTGAATGAGGTCCTACATAGATATTCAAAGACAAAATATAATAGTCATATTTTCTTTCCCATGTGATTTTGCTTGATTATGCACTCACACACAAAGCTTACATTATATTGTCATGCATGCAAATACTTATTTTACATCAAATCAATCAAAAGCAAACTTAATGCTCATGCTAAACTAGGTGTACTCCGTTTTTAGTAATTTCATTTAGTTTATCATTATTGTAGATTATGAAACTTTGTCAAAGATAGAGATGAAAAGGCAATCGTGGAGTGATGAGAACTTGTAGGGGAGTCACTTTTGTGACACTTAGTCCAATCGCTTCAGACATGTCAATGAGGTCACTTGAAGGTCTTCTCACATCAAACCCCTGAATAATGTTAGCCAATCCTAATTGCACAGTTTCAAGGGCAAAAGAAATCGCAGGACATATTCTCCTTCCACTTCCAAAGGGAAGTAGTTCAAAGTGTTTGCCTCTCACATCAATTTCGTTATGTTGATTTGTCAAGAATCTCTCTGGTTTGAATATATCAGGATTCGTCCAATAGCTTGGGTCACGATGGATCTTTGAAGCATTTATCAATAAACGTGTGCCCTTGAAAACATGGTACTTGTTTATTATGCAATCTTGTTGAGCCTCATGGGGTACCAAGAGAGGTCCTGCTGGATACAAACGTAATGTTTCTTTGGCCACGTTTTGAAGATAAGTCAAATTGTTTATATCAGAATCATTGACTAGCCTTTCTTTTCCTACATGCATGTCCAACTCATCTCGGATCTTTTCCAACACATCCTCATTATTCAAGACCAAAGACAAAGCCCATGTCAATGAAGTTACAGTTGTATCGCTACCTGCTCCCAACAATGTCTGTCACAAAACTTAAAGATGAGTCATTATATGGTCTAACTCAAACCTCATACAAATTATTTATTCATCAAACAAATCATCAGCACCTCAAACCTCATACAAAGTGTTGGAATGTCATTGGGAGTAACATGTTTTTTTGAGGAAAAATGTTCAAAATTGTAAACATTTTTGTATATAAATAACACTTTCCTGGTACTATAAACAGTATATGAACGAAAGTTAAAGCATATATAAAAGCGCTTCATGTTAGACACAAAAATTAAAACATCATTTACATTATAAATGACATTTAGTACATGAATGATGCTCAAGTATGCAATTTCGATTTATCTATACATGCTTAACTTTTTATTAATACAATTAAAAAAAAGAATAATAAACTATTTGGTGATGGTGTCAAAGTAAGGGATTTCTACAATTATCTGCACAAGCCACCCAAATTTAGAACTCTTATATCTCGAATTGAATGCATTAATTCACTCACACATCTCTATACAATCTACTTCTTATCTAAACAAATGTGTGTGTGTGAAAGTGTTAGTTCACAATCATGTCTAGAGGTTTTCAAAGATCTTGTTGGATTGTTGCAAAAATGGACCTCATTACTTGTACAATTCAAAAGGTGAACTTAATGGAGCGGGGTAATGTTGACTGTAATATATAAATAGGGGACCTTGTTTGAATTAGAAACTAACTTAGACAGAATAGTTGAATTCAAAGTGATAACTTGAAATAGATGCATTTGAAATAAGAAGCTTAAGGGTGGCTCAAAAAAATAAAATTGCATTATCGTCGGTGTTGCAAAAATTATCCATAAAACGTTAAGTTCCGAAATCATGATGTATGTTCCCAAACATTGGTTTTAGCGCCAAAAGTAGACTGACATATAAATGTATGTGGTGTGCAAACCATTGTTTGTGTGTACAGTCAATAGTTGTTTATATGCATGCAAATCAACATTGCTCACAAACAACTGTTGTTTATGTGATCAAATTTGATTGTTTGTGTGAATAAAATTTGTGTTTTGTGATGAAATTTTCACACTAAGATAATAGTTGCCCGTAAATGTGTAAACCAATGTTGTAATTGTCAGTGTGACCAATTTACATGTGATTTGAAAAAAATGAAAATAGAAAGTAGGTAAGGAGATGTGAGTATGAGAAAGGTGGGATAATAGAGGACAAGAAAAGGAGGGGAATTTTGTGGAAGTAAAGAAAAGTCTAAAAATGATAGGATAGAGAAGAGGAGATGGAAACATTTAGGGCTCGTTTGATTCAAGGAATGTCATGTTACCATGAGAATGTTAGATTGCTGGGTATGTTAAATTGGTGAGAATGTATTTAATTTGTGTTGGGTGTGTTTCGAAAAACTAAGAAAATAATTAATAAAATTAATTAAATTAAATAAAATGACTTAAAGGAAAACCAAGAAATGAGATGAAGCAGAATAAGTCAAAGCTCGTGCTACGCACGATTTCCTTAAAATGTATTCGTTGCCTCCCGGGGTGCTAGGAGCGTTGCAACGATCGTTTCCCAGGATACGATGACTTCGAACAATAGTTTAGCACTCAAACTAAAGTTCCAACGAACGTGAACAAAGTAAGAACACTTAGGAATTTTTCAGAGTGACTGGAGGTGTATTTGATCTAGAAAACACGTGAAGTTCGTATTGTGTGTTGTGTATTGTTGCAAACCACCTGCAGCCATTTATAGGGAAGATTTGTTGTGTGTTTAATGGAGGTTTAATGGATATGAACGTTGGTAATCAATGTCCAGCACGTTGGCATTGATTCTAGTCCAGAAAACCGTCCATTTATTGCAAAAGAACGTTGAACATTTATGGCGTTGTAACGTCCCAGTAGTAGGCTGCGGAAGACGTCTCAGCAGCAGGCTGCTGCGGACTGTCCTGCCGACAGCAGGCTGCTGCGGACTGTCCTGCCGACAGTGGGCTGCTGGAGCAGCCGGCTGCTGCTCCATTTCAACGGGTAAACTTCGAAAATCGATATCTCATTCACCCGTTATCCGTTTTGAGTGTACCACGTATCGAATTGTAGCCCTTAACAAGGACAATCCGAAACCACTTTGACCCGACCCAAATCGGAAGTGGACCCCACTCAAAAAATTGCCCCAAAATGACCATTTAATGCAATTTACTAACACATTTTCCAACAATCCCCCAGATGAATGAAAATTGATTTTCGAGACTTAAAAAAGACATGAAGATAGGAGGACACGTTGTGTTCACCGGATGATCCCTGCACACGGAGAGGTAGGTTTAATCCTTTGAACCTTCCGCTGTAAAGACGTGTTTATTTACTGGCTGTCTAGTAGACTCGATGTCCTTGAACTATACTGCCGTCGTGTAAACATTGACTTATCTTTACACAAGAACCTTCCAATTTTGTTCCGTTCTCATGGGTGTGCCCGTTTTGGCCATGGGTCACCGTCTTGGTTCTGCAAGAGTTTCTAAAGAACTGGGCGTTTACAGTTCTCCTTTGAAGCGGCCCTCTTCTCTCTCACATAGGTGATTCTTTCACGAGTATCCCGCATACTCTTCCAATGTTATCGAGTAGATCAACATTTTTAGAATCATTAAAGCAAACGTTTTTGCTAACCTCGTGCGGGAGTCACTGTTTCAACGAGGAGTGGGTAGGAGTCCGGGACCCCCACAATGACCATCCTTCGCTCTATAATTTAATTCTCCCATTTGAACCTAGGACCAACTAGGTTGGGTATCCACTATAGAACTTTTCAATTCACGGGCTTTAATCCCATTCCTCGTGACAACTTCTCCAACAATTCTCTAGCCAATGCCTTGGTTAGCGGATCCGCTATGTTATCCTTTGACTTTACGTAGTCAACAGTGATAACACCCGTTGTGAGGAGTTGTTTAATGGTGTTATGTCTACGACGAACGTGTCTAGACTTACCATTATAGAGATTGCTCTGTGCCCTTCCAATTGCTGCCTGACAATCGCAATGTATGCATATTGGAGGGACAGGCTTCTCCCAACTTGGAATGTCCTCGAGAAAATGGCGTAGCCATTCAGCCTCTTCAGTGCACTTATCCAAGGCTATTAGCTCAGATTCCATTGTGGATCTAGCTATTAACGTTTGTTTCGAGGATTTCCATGACACGGCTGCACCTGCCAAAGTGAAAACATATCCACTTGTGGACTTTGAGTCCTTAATGTCAGATATCCAACTAGCGTCGCTATACCCTTCGAGTACAGCTGGATATCTTCCATAGTGCAGTCCAAGATTTTGGTTTTTTCGTAAGTACCTAAAAACTCTTACTATTGCCTTCCAGTGTTCATCACCGGGGTTGCTAGTATATCTACTTAGCTTACTAACCACAAAGGCAGTATCAGGCCTGGTACAACTCATTAGATACATTAAACTGCCAATAATCCTAGCGTATTCTATTTGAGAAATACACTCTCCACGATTTTTGGTCAGGTGTACGTTTTTATCTAATGGCGTCCTTGCCTCTTGATAATCATCCTTATTAAATTTATTAAGGATTTTATCAACGTAATGGGATTGGCTTAGCGTCAGGCCATCAGGTCCTCTAATTATTTTAATCCCAAGGATTAAATCGGCCAGCCCCATATCCTTCATGTCAAATTTAGAATTTAACATGCTTTTGGTAGAATTAATCATTAGATTATTACTACCCACGATGAGTATATCATCCACGTATAAACATAAAATGACATAGCCGTCTACCGTGCTTTTCACATAGACGCATTTGTCACTTTCGTTTATTTTAAACCCATTAATTAACATTGCATGATCGAACTTTTCGTGCCACTGTTTAGGGGCTTGTTTCAATCCATACAATGATTTAATTAATTTACAAACCTTCTTTTCTTGGCCTGGAACACGAAAACCCTCGGGTTGTTCCATATAGATTTCTTCGTCTATATCGCCGTTTAGAAAAGCGATTTTTACGTCCATTTGATGAACTTCCAAATTCCGCAAAGCGGCAATCGCTAGTATCATCCTAGTGGAATTTATTCTCGTCACAGGAGAATACGTGTCAAAGTAATCATGGCCTTCACGTTGCTTGTATCCTTTGATTACAAGTCTGGCCTTATACTTTTCAATGGAATCGTCCGGTTTCATTTTACGTTTAAAAATCCACTTGGATCTCAAAGGTTTACATCCCGGAGGGAGATCAACCAATTCCCATGTGTGATTTTTTAGGATAGAGTCCACCTCACTTTTGATGGCTTCTTTCCACATTGGTCCTTCGGTAGACGTCACGGCTTCCGTATAAGTCCGTGGCTCATTTTCTACCAAACATGTTAGAAAATCCGGTTCATTTTCTACCATACAAGTTAGAATATTAGAATCGAATTCCACCAAGTATGTGAGAAAATCCGGTCCGAAGGATTTTTCAACTCTAGCACGTTTGCCGGTTCGGGTTCTTCACCGGATCACTCGCTAGTATTTTCCATAGCTACGTCAAATGTTCGTTTTGACGTGCTAGGTCCTTCGTTGGACTTGCATGGAAATACGTCTTTAAAGAATGATGCATTCCTTGACTCAATTATTGTGTTTTTATGTACATTCGGATTATTCGAATCGTACACTAAAAACCAGTAAGCACTACTATTTTGTGCATACCCAATAAAAATACAATTCACCGTTTTTGGACCTATTTTTATTTTCTTTGGTGTCGGTACAAGCACCTTAGCAAGACACCCCCACACTTTTAAATATTGATAGGAAGGCCGTCTGCCTTTCCACAACTCATACGGAGTTTTATCATATTTTTCTCCAGGGAACCTTATTTAAAAGGTAATTGCTTGTCAAGATTGCTTCGCCCCACATATTTTGTGGCAGGCCCGAACTTACAAGCATCGCATTCATCATATCTTTCAATGTGCGATTCTTTCGTTCGGCAACACCGTTTGATTGAGGTGAATAGGGTGCGGTATGTTTGTGTACTATACCCACACTAGCGCAAAAGTCACCAATTGGTGCTTCATACTCACCACCTCGATCACTCCTAACCGTTTTAATCCGTCGATTAAGTTGGTTTTTCAGTTCATTCTTATAAAGAATGAATTTATCGATTGCTTCGTGTTTATTTTTCAACAAATAAACATAGCTATAGCGAGTGCTATCATCGATAAAAGTAAT